AGCTGCAAGAGTTTCAGTCGATGTGGAGAAGTCCCGAGATGAAAGCGGTCTGGGATCGCATTGACGCGCAGATTAAAGAAAATGGCGGCGTGATGCTGCAGCCTACGGGGAAATGGGAGAGAGATTACGATACCATTCTTGCGGATCTTCGCGAGGAGGAGCAGACTCAGAATGAGCAGCAGCAGAAAGCTAATGAGGAGATGGAGCGATCGAAGATTCAGGCCACTGAGGGTGGATGGAGAGCGATTGTTGAGGGCTTTGCTCAAAAGAATGTGCCTGGTGTGCGTGTTTTGGCGAGTCAAAGTGAAGCGGCTGTCACGGTTGTGCTTGTCAAAGCTGGGATGGTGTTCAGAGTTGAGGCTATTGCTGGTCAGGATGGGAATGGTGTTCCTGACTGGCGGGTCTTTACTAGGACGCCTGGGGGGCAAACGCCTTCGAAGGTCGAGACGGCGGTGGCGCAGTGCTTGAATTCAAGGCCCCGACAGTGGGATTTGCTTTATCTACTTGTAAGGCCTGGCCCTTCTTCTTACGTTGCTGAATATGGTTTATGTGAACAAAATGCTGACATTTATATTAGGACATGATATCGTCCTACTCAACTATCAAGCAGACACCCTGTGCAAAATGCACCAAGATGACCGACAGCACAGCAACCCTTCCCACCATCCGCAAACCATCCTCTACTCCCCAAGAACAGGGAAGTCAAACCTGGGAAGCCTACCATCAAGGCTGCACTGAATGAAAGAGGAACAAAGAAAACAAAACAAATGAGGAATATATATATCATTAATGATGGAATATCCCATTCCAACAATCCCCAGATGCCTCAACGTTTCATATATCAGACAGGTCGATCCCAGATAAATATTCACGTCAATGGCATTTCGCGGGTAAAATCAATGCATGTTCCTCGGAACATCCAACACAAACAAAAAAACAAAGGTGCATCTGGCATTCACACCTACTCCTTCACATCCACCAACTTTGTCGGAAAGAAACTTGCCACTTTTCCCTCAAAAAGTGGCTCGAGCACCAGCTGACCGCGAGGACGACGAGCGCCGTGCTCGTCCCTGACAGCTCTCATGACTGTAATCCCCATGGTCCCCTTCGTACACAACAGCCACCACCACGGCGGACTGCCCTTGCGACGGACGAGTACGATGTCGTCAGATCTTGAGGATGACGATCTCTGCCGATGGGGTGCCGGTGTCGACGACCCAAACAGTGGTATCGTGTCTTGTTCTCGCTGTTTGCCTTTGTTTCTCCACCTTCTCTTGTGGTGGTGGTGGCTGCTGCTAGTGGGGATGTTGGTGGGGTTCCAGAAACTGGACATTTTGTTCTATCTTCCGAGGAAATCGGCTTGTGGTCGATGGCGAATTTGTCACGAGGGTGACTTAGCAAGAGAAGGTTAGAGTATAGTCAAGGATCACATCAAGTGTGAGAAACACAAACAAAGAATGATGAGTGAGAAATAGATGATCAAGTCGAGATAGATGGACTTATTTGTATCCAGCACCTCACATAGATCCATCGACCCAAGTCGAGTGCCCGATAGTCAAGCCATCAATAAACGCGGTTATCTCCTACATCCTGAATACTAACGAATGTCCACATCTTGTCCCATGTATCGGTAGAAATCTTGATTATGAGACATTGATTTGATTTTACTTCATCGATGGATGTAGAGTATATCTTAACCTAACTCCAGTGATTTTAATCTTTGATCTTCCAGTCTGTCAACACTGGTTATATCCAGTCCAGTCATGATAACACAGTAGATACTTGCAAAGTAGCATCGGGATATTCCATAGTTATTTATATCCATCACATCGTTGTATATGATGTCATGTCTCAGTGCTACTTACTATGAGTTCTAGACACTGAACGGAACCTGGAAAATCAAGATAAATATCATGCTTGTCATACGAGGCTGGCGATATACTACGAGTAGTATATATATGAACGAATTCTATCGATGAGATAATCCGCGTTAGTAGTAGCTATGAATTCGGGGATTTCCTTGATATTGTTAGTATTTCAGGGGATAGTATATATATATATACTACGGCTTATCTACTTCCTTGCGGGCATCGACATTAGGTAATATCAACGTATGTTGGTTGGCTGTGGTGCCTGGGGAGGAGAGTGTGGCTTGTTCCGGCTTTTGGTAATAGTATGGATGCATAATGCCGTGAAGGAGGAGTGTATTGTTAGTACTAGTACTAGTACTTTGTTGGCTGGGACAGTCTCAGTTAGAATTACAGGTGTATCTACTAGTTTCCAGTCTGCAGTGGTCGTAGGTAGGGGTAGCATATATTAAATCTGAGGAAGTATCCGATAATAATAAGTTCAGATATGTATACGTACATCCATGAGATAAAATGCAGAGAACATTAAGTATAGACAGGCCAAATGGAGATACAATCACATGTCATAATCACCGCATGCACACACTATTACACTGATATCCCGCTATTGCTGCGCATCAAAGGAGTGAACAAAGGTCAAAAGTAAAGAGGAAATTCCCAGCCATTATATCGAATCAGAAAAGGAAACTCGCAAACGCCAATCCGACCCAGCTGATAGATTTCTATCATCATAACTCAAACGAAATTCGCTTTGCTCAATGCAACATTCTAATGCATAAAAATGTTTGTTTTCTTGGTCGTCATCCGGAGATTACACTCATGTGGAGAAGAGACCGAAGCCCCCGGCGAACCAGGTGAAGGACAGGACGGTGATGGCGAACATGCCAAAGGTGAACTTCATCCCTAACCGTTCGAGCTCGGAGAAAGCGCCGCTGCAGGTAGCGCAGACAAATCCTGTCGGAAGTTAGCAGGTTCATTACGATATATAGAGGCGATAACATACCATTGAGTGGAGTGTACGGCTGCGAGCTGTACATTCCGAAAATGTAACTGCTAGCCGCACTGAGATAACCGGCACTAGCCGTCTCAGTGATGGCCTTGCTGGCATCCCAAACGATCAACGTGTACGATGCTGTCAACAGCGGAACAGTCGCGTTGGCCTGGTACTTCTTGGTGTCCCAGACCACCTTTCCGGTAGGCGACATGGTCATGTTGGACGAGATGGTGTAGGTGGCACTGTTCAGACTGCAGGACGCGACGACGTTGACAGCCGTTGGGCTGATGGTCAACGAGGTGTAGTTCCATTCCAATGTCACAAAATCGCCAATCTTGTAGTAGGATGTGGCTCCCTCGGTGGGAATGAGCATGGAGATACCACCAGCACCGGCAGCGGGGTTGATAGAAACACTCGTTGTGCTGTTTGAGGAAGAGCCAGAGGATTTGCCGCTAGCCGTGCCTGTTTTGGTAGCTGACTTGGTATTGGTGCCGGTGGCCGTGGCCGTGGTATCGGTTCCTGTTGCGGCGGCGGTCTTGGTCGCTGCCTCGGTCTTCGATGCACTCTCGGTGGTAGCGGCGGCTCCAGTGGTTGCGCTCTCAGCTGCGGTAGTATCTTCGCGAATCAGCAACACATCACACACGAAGCACGATAAAAAATAGGACAGTGGTAGAAGGTAATGCCAAAAGACGGAACTAACCAGCTCGTCGCAACAATTCACCATGTGGCCGCCATGGCCAGGCCGAAGTTACCGTCCCCAGCAGCAAGAGGAGGCACAGAATAAACAGACGAGACATGGAACGCATCTTGAAAAGACCGATCGGACTGTACTGTAGTGGTGTTGACTGAAAGGCAGAGGGGTCGGTTGACTCCCTTGGCAAGATTCAGGGTCCGATCGACGTGGACCCTTTCCCGTCTACGGCGGCAGAAGCGACAGGGGTATCGGTAACTGCGATGGACTGACGGGCGACAGATGAAGCTACACCAGGATGGCGAAGATGAACCGTCGAGCACGATAAGCGATAATCAAATCCAGAGATGAAGCGATACGGGCTGCAGAAATGGTGGTTTTTTCAGGCCAGCGGGACTGAAACATGCAGATCGTCCGATAGATTCTCGGCAGGGTCCAACGAGGGTCGGGGGGGAGGAGAAGAGATGTAAACAAAGCGAGTGACAGGGACCGGTCTGATTCCAGCGAACCGGGGGTGGCAGACAGATGAAAAGATAGGACCGATCAACCGATAGCGAAGGTCAGAAGAGTCAAACGACAGACGAGCGAAGCATTGTCCGACCCGAGGGGAAGAAAGAAAGACGAGGGCGAGAGACTAAAAGACCAGACGAGCAGCCATTGAAGGCGCGCCTTGCCCGATTGGGACAGGGAGTGAGACACGGCGCTATTTTTGGCTGTGCGCCTGAGGCATCCAGTGCATCTGACCCGGTCGGGGATCAAGATTTATGCACCTTGTTTCACCTAGAATAGTCCCTTTCCCGTACACCGAATAGAAAATATTCCCTCGTCGCAGGTATAAAGTAATAGTGAAAGAATCATCCCGTGTCTGTCATTTCTGTGACTCTATCATTCTCGCCCCAACTTCTGAATGAAACTCCGTTCCCCATACTGTCATGGTTTGTAGAAGTCAGTGTTTGCTGTCCCCGCAAACCTGCAACACTAACCGGATCCCGGCAGCCACTATTGCCAATTATTGGCCGCTACGATAAGCGAAGGGCGGATGGGAAGCACATCAATCTAGTTCACTTTTGTTACTGTGGGTTTGCAGCTATCGTTCTTGTCAAGATACCAAGTAGTATGTAGTAAATGCATATATTTACGTGAGATTATCTAAACCTGATATTCCTGACTATGCAACATGCCACGCATAGCGTATACATCACCTTCCTTCCCATCATCACAACTCATTCTCACTCATCATTAAGTATATTAACATTAGTATAAGGTCGATCGTTTAACAGGCGTATTGTTACAGAGTGCATTCCCTTTCAAACCGGGAGAGGCGCGTATCCTCCCAGATCCTTCGGTATCATGATTCATCAGTCACGCCACACTCGTCATAGAGCCCCTGTTACAAGGCCCAGTGGCGAGGTCTAGACGTCGTGTCTCTAGGAACTATATTCGGGCTTCAGGTCGACAGTGCTGCAGGAGGAAGGAATAGTGGGCTCTTCGTAGCGGTAGATGTAGAAGAGCTGGGGTGCGTTGGGTACCAATCGCACACTACATAGCCGCAGTTAGTGGCATGTTCTAGAAAGTTCGTATGGGTATATGTTCAAGGTCACTCACCTAGCCAGCCTCCGAAGCCATCCTGTGCCGACCACTCCAGACCGGTAGTGCCAATGGCGAAATCATCATCGCCGTATCCAACATTGATCTGGACAGACTCCCATGCTGCATAGTTGTTCTGGACGCCCATCTTGAATCCCCAAGGGAAGGAAGTTCCCAGGTCGAATTGGGTGTGGGTGCCGTTGAGGAAGGCCGGGCTGGCCGTTCCGACATCCGAGGTCAGCACGGCATCGTTGAATCCCGCACCGGTGTGGTAGGCATAAACGTAGAGGTTGTTGTGGTTATCGTTGGAAGCGCCCGAGGTCTTGAGGTAGAAGGACTGGGTGGAGTTGCTGGACTGGCGGGGGTACAGCATAGGGCTAGCAGCCACAGTAGACGCCAACAGGGCAAGAGAGGCAAGGAACTTCATTATGATGGATGATGTGGATGAGAAAGGTGGATGAAGAAGAGAGAAATTAGAATAGAAAGGACAAGACTCGTGGATGGATCCTGAAATAGAACAGGGGATGTAGGAGAAAAGGGGAGGATGGTGCGTGTGATACAGGATGGCTGAATGGAGGGGGATGCCCAGCGTCTTTATATCGGACAGCCACCACGATTCTCCCCCACAGCAGTTGGGGACACGGGTGCGCCGGCGCCGAAATGCCTACAGGAAAGTTGGAACGAGTGGAGGAGGATCCAAGGACAGCGCAGGGGCAGGACAGACAAGACTACGGACTAGGGAAAACTTTGCGCGAAATCTGAGAATAGAAACTTGGGCGAATGCCGACAGGTGGAGGGGGCGGTTGGTGGTTGGTGGTTGGAGCTTCAGTTCAAAAGCTGAGGAATACTTTTTGAGTTGGCAGAATGAAAGGCAGGAACAACTGGAGAGGCAAATCCCTGCTCCACTTTTGCCCGCGCCTTCCTCTTCCTGCTGGAGCCTCGTTCGGACTGGCCGCCCTTGTCCTCACAGCCCGATTGGTTGATCCGGTCTTGGCTGCGCTGGTGGAGGGTCTTCAGCCGGACCAATCAATGCAGGGCGGCGAATTCAGCAGAAACAGCAGATCCCTGCGAGGCAGAGGCTGATTGGACAGGCTCGGAATGAACGAGGATGGCGGGAGGAGACTGGACTCATCCCCGCATACTAAGTAAGTGGTACACTTCAGTGTATAGGTATTGTATGTTCAGTATTCCTATAGAGAATGAACACAATGGTTCATTAGTAACTTCTTCACCCATCTGTCTATATACCATGTCAAGTTAAGATCAGATGGCAACTGTGGGCTGATCTGACATGATACAAGACTATCTTTTCTATTTTTATTTCCCTGCAACAACATAGTCTACTCCGTACTAATCCTCAAAACTTGTAAGCAGTCGATCTTAATCTATCGGATGATCGGATTTTCAGTGACCCTCTCTCTCTCCTCCATGCCCGATGCCCGACCGATCACTGCCCGGGTCAGATGATTGACTTTTTGTCTCAGATTTCTCCTCCCTCGGCTCGGGTTTCCACCGTTATCCATCCATTCATTCATCCATCATATCGTCATATGCCTCGTGGATCGGATTGTCTTTTCTTTGTCTTTTTTTCTGGACAAAGAAATCATTGACATCACAAGAACCACACTTCCTCTGTAGTATATTGTATTACTGTGCAAGGTAACCCCTCCTCCCCCTGAAGCCGATCACGATAATCACGTAACTGGAGAAATTTTAACCTGCAGCAAAAAGTGGACTTGGACTTCCCGATCACATCCACTCCGATTGGTCTTGAAACAACTCATCACTCACTTAGTTACAGAGTAACTACAAAATGTCTAGACTTTCGTACCTGCACTCTAACAGTCCTAACACCGTGCCTATGCTATCCTCTGGTCCAGACAAATTCATAGTATCCATTCATCGCGCACACACATTCCTCACGGAAAGCCCGCCGCACCTCCTCTCCATCTACTTTGGTAACTGACATCATGATTCCCCGTTCCGTACACTCCCTTTCTCTGGTTCACACACTATCGGCTGCTATGACATCCCACAATGGGGTTGAGTAGACGATCCTTATCCACGGAACCGTTATCTCGTTTCCCGCGGGGTATTCCGAATAAGTTACTACTTTGGTAGGAGTCAAAGTGACTCGTCAATGTCGTTTAGATACCTAAAGTCTCAATAATCAGTTTTGTCAGGTACCGGGGGGTTATGGTTATGGAGTCGGGTTATACGTCATCGAGATTACGGTTACGTCGTCTGCTTGGCTTCTCTGGGTGATCTTGAATTGTACAACAATGACAATTATAGTAGAATTACACAGGGCATGGGATCGACATCATCCCGGGCTGCATGAAATTGTTTGTTTCAACTTTCAGCCCTTCGGGACATGGGTATCCCTGGTCATTGTAGTATATCATAACTAGCTGAGGTATAGGTATTGATCCTTCCAAGACGCAATTCATCTATCCATCCATGGTTGCCCAACGCCTGGGAATGATCCATATTATACAAATGCATATCGAGTCTACTATTTCTCATTGGCAAATCATCGTCGCTTGGCATATTCCGGCTTCAAAGCCCATTTCCCGCGCCCGTTTCGTCCCCCCTTGTCCAACACGGCTATCGTCTTCAGCATCTCCTTGAACTCGGCCGACCGTTGCGGCGTGGTGCAGTACCGGTTGAAATGATCGATCAACATTTGGGTATAGACTGACCCGCCCTGGGCCGTAATGAAATCCCGGATCATGGTGATGAAATCGATTCCACTGGGAGTCCGCGATGGCGCAGGACTGTTGCTGCTGCTGCGCGGTGAAGGTGTGCGCGCCGAGAGATTCGCCAAAATGCTGGCTGAGGATGGTCCGGCTACCGCTCGTCTGGCGGCGCTACTGCTTCCTCCAAATGCAGGCCGGCTGGGTAACTGTTCCTCAGGTTTCCCGGCCAGGCCGAATTGACCCGTCCAGGTTGGAGTGCCGATGGGGACGGACCGCGCTGCTTCACCCGCTCGCCGCAGCTCCTCTGCAGCTTCAGCTGCCACCCGCTTCGCTTCGGCCTCGATTATTTTGGGGTCCGCTCGCACCACGCGCTTGCCATTCACAATCTGATCATGCTCCAGCGCCGAATGGACCCCGGATCGGGCAAAGATGCCCTCCATGATGCGGGACTCGGAGTTGGCACCTGAAGTGCCCTTCTCCTGCTCGCTCTGTTGCTCTTGGTCTCCCTGGAACTGTTCGACAGCGGCGACACCCACGACCTTGCTGATGTCTTTCTTCTCCTCCTGCGCGCTATGCGAGGAGGCAGATGATTTGATCGCTGCATTAGACTTGCGCGAGGTGCCATCGCTGTCTTCATATGTGACGTCCGCATCTTTAAAGATCTTACTGGTCTCGGTGGGGCCTTGGCCTTCGTCTCCAAGAGAGAAGAGATCATGGAGGTCGCTTAGCTGGAAAGTCTGGCGTTGCTTGGGATCCCGGAGGATTTTATTCGTGAGAAACTGCTTAAAGATCTGACGATGATAGATCTTCTCTTCAATAGTGCCTGCGGTCATAAGCCGATAGACGGTGACGTCGCGCTTTTGTCCTAGCCTCCAGGCCCGCTCCCGCGCCTGCACATCAGTTGATGGGTTCCAATCGGGATCGTATATGATCACCCGATCAGCACCCGTTAGATTTACCCCCAGCCCGCCAACTTTAGTGGTAAGGAGGAAAACATGTAGGCTTGGGTCATTGTTGAACTCGTCCACCATAGCTTGCCGGTGCTGGATGGGTGTGGTGCCATCCATTCGACGGTAGCTAAATCCAGACAGTGAGTTCACAAATTTCTCCAGAATATCGAGCATGATCCGATGCTGCGTGAACAGCAAAGTCTTGTGACCGGTATCCTTCCATAGCTCCAGCAGCGATTTGACGACCTGCATTTTACCCGACTTGGATCCGCTACCATAGCCGGTTGTTGAGGACATCAGCTTATGATTTTGTAGATCCGGATGGTTGCAAATCTTTCGTAATATATCGACACCGAACAAGACTTGTCGACGCCCGTTGAGGATGGATTTCATCTCCTCGGAGCCAAGGAACGCCTCGTACGCCTGTCGTTGCGGCTTTGTCAACTTGCAGAACAGCACTTGTTCACTCTTCTTAGGAAGATCTGCCGCAACATCGATCTTGAACCGCTGTAAAAGATAGGGGCTGATGGCATCCTTGAGGGTCTCGGCACATTTGGCAGCTGTCTGGACTTGCAGATTAGAGGCATTCGCGTACCCTCCCTGACGAATCGGGAACTCGAATTGGTTCCGGAAATTCACCAGAGTTCCCAGGCGCATTGGAAAGACGAAGTCGAATAAAGACCAGAGCTCTGTAAGATTGTTCTGCATCGGGGTGCCAGATAGAATAATGCGATGGGGTGTCCGGAGTTCCTTGCAATGGATAGTAATCGAGGTGTTCGGGTTGCGGATTTTGTGCCCTTCATCCAGGACAGCACAGCCCCATTCAATCGGTATCACGAGAGAAGCATAGGTCTGTAGGCCCGAGTAAGTGGTTACCAGTACATGCCCTTCTTCTACTACACGCTTGACGACTTTCCTGGCTGCTTTCAGGCCACTTGGCATGCCACGAGTACTCGAGGCGTTCCACGCCTGAGACAAAAGAGCATCTTCTCTGCTGCTCTCGTTCCGAATGTTGACCATTCCACTACCGGACGTGTGCAGGATGGATACACGGAAAGGAGGCCACCAACGGTGGAACTCATTCACCCACTGCTTCATGACCGTAGCGGGACATACAACGATGACTGGCCTCGTCAACTTTTTGCTGTAATGGAGACCAGCAAGGAAAGAGATGACTTGAATAGTCTTCCCAAGACCCATCTCATCGCCGATGATCCCACCTACTTGCTGCTGTTGTAATTCCCATAACCATTGTACTCCGGTCTTTTGATAATCGAACAAAAGGGGATGTATATCACCAGGTATTCGATACCCGTTGTCGTAGGGCATATCTGAAACTGTGGGATGAGGCATGAACCATTCTTCCTGTTCATCTTGATCGAGCACATCCACATTGTCCCCAGCAGCATCCACCTCGGGTCCATGACCTGCAACACGCGACTCAAGCGCTCTTTTCCTAGCAGCTGCCCTTCGACTGACCCAATATTGAAGCCTAGTTTGATAGAGCTCTTCATTTCCATCGTCCATTCCGCTGAAATCTTCAACCTCGTCCGAAGACTTTGGAGCCTTTACTGGCTTTGCCGTACGTTTTGGCCTTTCTTCAGGCAGGAATTCTTCTTCATCTTCCGATACAGAAGACTGCCTTTCAGATTCAACATAGCTAGCAGACTCATCTTGATCCTCGAAATTGTCTTCGAGGGATACCTTGGTTTCTTGTTCAAGAGCTTCTTCCTCCTCCTCATGAGACTCGCGGTCTATCTTTCGACGCTTACTTGCTC